ATTTTCCCCATTTCATAAGACTCATTTTCTCTCTTTTACCTTCTCTTTTGTCATGTTAGATTAATCTATATTCGTTCTGCATGATGTCACTATTTAACGATTGTACTGGCATGATATGGTAGAATTCCTTTTTTCCCTTAGGACTGAACTTCTCAAGCCTTCTGTGTGTCAGTTGTTTGCTCTGCAGTTCAGAAGCAATGAAAACATGTGGCCTCTCACTTAAAACTGAAGCAGCAGTCTTAAGAAAATGCTCTGTTCAGTGATGATAAACCAAAATCCACATTGCTCACTGCAGACTTGCAAAGAATGTTGTTTCTATCTGGGTCACTATTTGCTTGAATATTTTTGAGTTTGCTCTGATACAGTAATGCCCTCTTCATGTTATGTTCTCTGGCAACATTTGAGAGAGTCTCTTGCAGACAAAAATGTTCACTGTAAGTATAAGTTACACAGGTACATGTCTACCTTCCTAGACATACTTGTGGTCTGCTCTGGTTCAAATGGGAGCAGTGTCACTTGACATTCTGGAATAGCTGCATCTCTGCAGTTCTACTGAAGTGATGTACTCTGCACGCTCAGAAAATATTTGCTTCCTCTCCAGGTTTATTTTAATGTCCTTTGCTTTTTAATAATGCAGCAACAGTCAGGGAGTTTAAGAAAATCACATGTACACATGATCAGGGCAGGAGGGAAGGGAGGACCTAAATTGCTCTGCTAAATTGCTTGAAAATTACATGCTGGACGCTAATCCTTCTCCTTTAGGCATATAGAAGTTGTGTGGGTGGTGCTTAAAACACTGTATTTGAGATTATAGAATGACACTTCCCTTTGACCATATAAAAGTATTTTTAAAAAGCTTATACTTTGATCAGAACATTTTTTAATTCATCATTCTTCAAATACACGTACTAATTTTACTATTGCAGAAGAAATGTGGAGAAGTAGTGTCATTTTGAGAGGTTTGGGGGAGAAATGGCTTATTTTAGGGTTTTTGACAGGACTCTCAAATAAGAAGACAACCCCAAGGTAAATGCCAAGATGCAGATAGTTTTGTTGATTTGAGAGAGGTAAGATGTGCACAGAAAGCCTCTTCAGGAAAAATTATTCAGGATCATTTGTTTTATTTTGCGTTTTCTTTCCTTAAATTGGTATGGGCTTGCTTCTACTTTAATGATGAGGAAAGGCAGTACAAAGACATTGTACATGGATGAATCGCTTCCTAAAAGTTTGGCAGATAGAGATTAGATTTTCCTTGTAAAAGGTCCTCCATTACCTTTTTCTGCTGTATAAGGTGTGCGTTTCAGCTTCCTTCATATTTTTGTTTCCTTCTAAAATTCTCTCTCTGAAGATTTTGAACTAATTGAAGGTCATAATAAAGTAACATGTAGCACAATAACAGTGTGTACGTGTAAAGTAGTCAGATATTTTTGTATTACTTCAGTGTCCTGTTTTTTTCCCCAAATTATATTATAAAAAGAGAAACTGTTACCAAAGCCCTGGGTGTATCTGTTCGTAGTGTGTGCATGTGTAGTAGGGCTCTTAACTTTGGGCATCAAACATTTGAGGGAAGTACAGTCATTATGTAGTACTGTACGTGAGATACTCCCCAGAACATTGTCTCAGCTGGAGTCGTGTGCGCTCTACTGCAAGGGATACCTTACATAACTACAATTAAATACCTGAAATACTGAGACACTGCACTTCCTCAACCTAATTCTATAGAGAACTGATGTTACTGGGATGTCAAATCACATCTTTCTGATGAGCTGTAGCAGAGCTGACTAACTCTGTCCTCCTACACAAGTGTCCACAGGTCAGCCTAATAGCATGAGGCGTGTGCAGAATACCTGCCAGCCTGTAGTGCAGGGTATCATTAGGGCATGATGCAACAAATATTACAAGGACAAATATCACTGAAAATATTTATAGGAGATACTTTCTATATTTCAGGAGCTGAATGCTGCAGGCATTATTTCATTACAAACAGGATCCTATTTTTCTTTCTATAAAGGCAATATTTTTTTTCCTGTTTAAAAAAAAATAAATATTTGTAATAATATATTCGTGTGTGTGTATATATATGGGTTTTTTTTGTTTTTTATATATATATATATAAAAAACAACAAGCATGCTATTAACTAGAACAGTCCCAATCTCAACCTTGGTTTGATTGGTCCTGTTCCCTTCCCTCTCCCATTGCCTCTGCTACCTCCCCAGACAATTAAAATAACTCTTTAGATTGGAATAATGAAAAGGTGCCTTCAAAGGTTGTATATCTCCTAAAACGCAAGAAAGCAACAACAGTGAAATGTTAATTCAAACAGAAACTCAACTTGCCAGCCGTCTGTGAAAACCTCTTTCGCCCCCTCATCATTGTGGGAAGTGTTCTGCATGACCCCCTCCTAGATCTCTGCCAGGGGAGGGTGTTTCCCAGCGTGCCTGGAAGGTCACCGGATCTCAGTGCTGTAGGAGCAGGAGGAGAGGATGTTGCAGAATCCTTCACCTTGTGAAGACTGGGTAACACCCGCATTTTGAGTGAGTGTGTGCTGTCTGCAAGGTCTCAAAAGAGCACAGCAATTTGTACGTATAAACTGGAGAGAGACATTGGGGGAGAAATGATCCCTGGCTGGTGCTGTTTCGAAGTATTTAGGAATGATAGCTGTGTATAAGTAGCTGCTGAGAAATAGGAGTGAAGATAAAAGACCTATTCCACAAAGCTGCAGAAAAAAATCTGCTGAACTTAGTGAATTTTAAATTGGGGCCACCACTTTTTCGGACACTTGTTCTTGGAGAAGTCCTACAAAACAACCTTAGATGTTATTTCATTAGCTAATCACTCATTTCCCAACATCTGGTTTCCATCTTGGCCAAAGTACTAGCCAACATATTCTCCTGAAGACTTTTGTTTTCTCTGTTGTTGGTGGGGTTTTGGGGTTGCAGGGTGTTAGTGAATAGATAGCAAAGATCCTACTTACTAATCACATCTAATGAACATGTTTTCATGAAACTGTCTCAGGTGAGGCATGAAAAAGCAGTGTAGTATGGCTATAATCATTACTGATAGATTCTCTGTTGTTTTTTATTTAAGGGTTATTGTCTTAACCCTTTAAAAAAAAAAAACAAACCCCAAACAAAACAACAAAAGAAACAAACAAAACCCCCAAACAACCCCTACCACCCAAAAAAAAAATACCCCACAGCCCACTTTTCTAACCCCATTTCAGCATGATGCCAGCGCTGTAATCATTTAGGGTGGTTTACAAAGAGAATCAGAAAACATTTCAGAGCCACGGTTACAGGAACTAAAAAAGCAGTAGGCACTTGAACTAAGACAACTTTAACACCACAAAAGCACTGACGTTTTCCAACTTTGTTCTCTGAACTTAGCGCAACGTTTCATTTCTCTCTTTACCATAATCAAAATTTGATGTGCATTCTTTCTTAAATGGCATCTGATGTGGTATCTCTCCTCAGCTCTTTGTGGTTTCCTGTTTTTCGTACACAGATGAAAGTATCTGCTGAGATCTATTAAACTTCACATTTTATCATTTATGACTTTCTCAATATAAGCCTCCAAGTAACAAGTAGATTTCTTTGCACTTACAAACGTAGTGAATGCCTGATGTGGTAGAAATATAGGAGTATGCCTTTAGTGTTGAACTTCAAATTACTACTTATTTTAATTTAGGTTAACTGCGTAATATTTATTATGCAGTACCAACTTAATACAGTTGGTCTTTTAGTCTTTTTTTTTTTTTCCCTCACAGTATTGTACTACCAAGTAATATACATTTCCGCAGAAGAAAATAGTTAGAAAAACTGGAATAAAATATTTTGGCTCTTCTAAAAATAAGGCACTGTGAACTAATAAAAATTGCAAGAAATACTGATGAATTTGTGAGGCCTGTGTCTTTTGTCATTTTAGCAGTTACTAACAAAATATTACTTTGAATATGTGAGATCTTGTTAAGTCCTGAAAACAGTTATGGTTAATTGTAGTATTGGTTAATAGTTATATGTTGGTTATATTTCGGTTAATTAAAATGTTTTTAAAATATCATATAATCTGCTCTCAATGTGAGGCAGAATCAAAGAGAAGGTGTTTTTAAGAGAAGGTGTTATGGCTTTTCAAAATTTGGATTTGACCCTAATGACATGATAAGAAGAACTGCTATTATTGAACAATTTCTCATAGTTTTGAGAGTGCTAAAATAGAGCACTTTCAAGTGATCAGCCTCATGTCAGATTGCAGATACAAGCACTTGGTTGGCAGAATAACTATTCTGCATTATCTCCGACTACACAAATAGAAACTGAATTTGACAGAACATGCCTTTGTATTACAGAGGATAATTTTAATTTCCTTCTATTCTGATTTCCCACCTTTTCCCACATTTACTACTGTCTGAAAATACTCCCCATCCTGCAAGAATATGTGAAGGTGAAGATCTGAGAAAATGTGTCTTCTAAGATTTGTGTAACTGTCATGGGCTATGACAGGCCTTGGACCAGTATCGGTGGTATCTGGTTGATTGCTAGCATGTTACTTGACCAGCGTTTATAAGCTTTAGCTATAAAAAATGTCATCACAGTAGATACTAAATTGATGCTTATCGTTCTGAGAAGAGAGGCTGTGAAGAAAGCACAGAGCTGGTCCTTTACATTATCTTGTGAGAGGGTGTGGGGTTCGTTGTTACACTTGCTTGGTAGGATATTTCAGTTTCTGCAGTGTTCTTTTTGTTGTCCTCCTAAGGAAGCTTGAATATTTATCGTTGTAAAATAAATGGCACTTTGTTTGATCATGTTTAAAGGAAGGTAAACCATTCTTTCATTTGCTTAGGCTGCTTTCAGAACACTTCTTTTTTTTTTTTTTTTTTTTGTCTGTAGAGAAACCAAATTAATGTTCCACTTCTTTAAAAGTCCAGTTCTGATGTCTAAATAAGGTATCAAATCTTAAATATGAGGTTTTATTAAATTTATGATTTCCACCCATCTCACAGAACTATAGTGCCATGGAAATTGTTCAGGCAGTGCCTTCATGAAGTTCATCAGATAAGCTCTGGTTTGGAAGCAATGGCTCTTAAATCTACTATTGACTTGACCTGCAATGACTACATTTCAATTTTTGAATTTGATATCTTCACTAGATTATTTCAGGTAAGATTTGAAAATTTTAGATGCTTGTATGAATTTGAGAAGCTTAGTGCCCTGAGGCAAGTACCTATGAGTCAAGGAAGCGGATTTTTTTGAAAAACTGAAATAACTGAAACACTAGAATTCAGAAATAAATTGTGTATTTTTTTTAATCCTTCAGAGATATTGGGGGCATCAACACCTACATCTGAAAAACTGAAAACATCCAACTGCTTAATTTCTGCACGTATTTAGTGTGATTACAATATCTTTGTGTTTGCTGCTTACTTATTTTTCACTATTCTTAAGTGCATTCCTAGAAATGTAGACTTTCAGGTACTTATCTAAGTTTTACATGTGTTTTCATTGTGCTTTTGTATCTATATGTACTTATATGAAGTGTTTCTACAAACACATAAGGAAAGCTGCATATGACTTTTTTTTTTTTAGGCTATATGTAGGCCTAACTCTTTTCTTTATGAACGTATTTTTGCCATTAATGCTCTGCTGTTTATTTACAATAAGGGACTATCTTTGGGAATAGCATTAATTGTATTATTGTTAATAGCTAATATTTATCTGAAATAAGCTTGTATGTATGTTACGTGCCTCTGTAACTTTGTGTCCCTTCTACGGAATATACTTGTATATCGGAATCTTTGAGGTATACAACAATTTATTTGATCATTTACTTTCTTTACAATGATAAACTCATGCACAGCCTCAGGTTGCGCCAGGGGAGGTTTAGATTGGATATTAGGAAAAATATCCAATTTCAGCCTTCACTGAAAGGGTTATCAAGCACTTAGGGACATAGTTTAGTGGGGGACTTGGCAGTGTTAGGTTAACGGTTGGACTCAACAATCTTAAAGGTCTTTTCCAACCTAAATGATTCTATGATTTTATGATGATTATTTAGCCTGTTGGAGATATGTTCAAAATACCAATTTTAGATCAAAGCCGGGGCCATATATTTGTTACGTCTTCCATGTTATTCTGTGATAATCTCTGTTCAGCTGTATTAGTTTTGCTGTTATGGGGAAGGGTGCCATTACGAAGTTGATATCAAGATTTGGCAGGAGGTGCTTAATGGTTTTAGTTTACAGAGTTTTGATTTTGATCATCTCTTCTCCATTCTGAGTCAAAACGGTATCAAAGTTGAAAATGTTATGGTGTAAGTCATCTCTCTGTTCAATTTAACCATAAACGTTGGTCACTTACTAAAACACACACAGGTTATGGAGGTTTGAACAAAACTTTGGGGGTTCTTTTTCATGAAATAATAAACTAGAGAATATAGATCATTGTACTTCATGCTGCTTTAGCAAAATCCCCCTAAACTTAGCCCTTTATGTGGAGCTTGATATGATCAAGCATTCCTGTCTGAACGTTGCTGCCTTGGGATCAGTTTCTACTCTGTCAAAGTTTCTCCCTTTTATTCAGTATTTGGCAAACTAATATGGTGTTCAGGTTCATAATCAAGCCCGAATCTTGATCTCAGACTTGACTGCAAAATGTCTGAGGCCCACTGGCTGCAACATACATCACTATGAAATGCATGTATTTAAGGTTATTTTCTGTAGAATTTTTTCCCCTAAGCATTCTGCTTATGAATAACAACAGCGTTTGGGGTTTTTTGTTTTGCTTTAATCTGTACATCAAATATAAAATTAAATGAGAAGTCAGTGATCTGAGAAATAACAGTTTGTTCTGATCCTATGTGGGGTCCTCTAGATTACGTTACACTTCAGGACAGAAGCCTCAAATGAGATTTATTTTCCTTGTTCTGTAAGCCAATGAATATCTGTTTGCATTAGTTTCTTTGCAAGGCCATTGCTGGATTGATTCACTACAGTGTCTTGTGCTAGAAAAAGGGGATCAGCAGTACTGATACATGTAAGGAGAGAAGACTGGTTAGGATTAACTTTTAATTTAACAAAGAAGCAGAGAATTTTTGCCAAACAGATTACCAACTGGTGCAATAGCTGCGTAACTGTTGAAGTGAACTTGCACTGAACTTGCTCTGAGAACCTCTCCAGAGGTTACATTTTACTTTTCTAGTTTTTAAACAGCTTCTGTAACTATGTGTGCATACACCCACGGAGAGAAAATCCCAATTGTTTAAGTAATCAAAATACTGTTTTGCCAACTGTGGGTCGTGTTACAGAAAAGCTACATTTATAATGATGCTTATTCACAGAAGAAAGCAAGACTACTTTCTGTGGAGATCCTGTAAAAGTGAAGTTGCTCCCCCTGCCTCCCCACTGTATGCATGCACAGCTTTGTGCAGTGTTCTCCGACCAGATATAAAGTTAGCATGGCAGAATATGTAGATGCTTTGAAGGAAAGGAACTTCATTCTTCCACCGTTAACATGTTCGGTTAAGTTGTCCTTTTATGCAAAAATATTTCCATAGAAAAGAAAGCGTACAAATCTTTTCCCATTTAACATTTCTGCTTTTATAATACTCTTATATTTGTGTGCACAAGGCAAGCTATGAGTTCTTGCCCTTTGACTTTTCAGTCATACTGTCACATAATTTTCTAGGTATAGCAGTAGTGTGATACTCTGTAGAGAGTCCCAGGCATTTGAGGAAGATACTGTCTACTCTGCATTTACATGCATGGACTTGAGTAACACAACAGGAGAAAGAACGTCGTGTTTTTGTGAAGGAACTGTCAGTGTTGGTGTGGTGAAAGGGGAGGAGTCAACTCCCTTTTTTCTCTAGTTAGAGCAGCTAAAATTTTTCATGTGATGAAGCCTCCTGGCATCCATCTTTGGTGAGGGTGCAGAGAGGAGCTGGGAAGATGCGGTGTTGCATCTAGGATTATGATTTTTTTTCTCCTTTCTTTTGTACAAATTTGAACGCTTGAGGTTTCTTATGGCCTCTGTGCTGAAACCTTACTGTTCTATTTCATTTGAAATATTTCTTCTGATTTGAAGAGGTATTAATTTTAAAATAAAACAGGTATTCATCCATGTTTAAGTAGTGGTTAGGGTTTGCCCGGGAAATGTATTGTAATCTCAAGCAGAACTGTTAGGATACTCTGCTCAAGTGTGTCACACGGGCATTTCACCTCTGCCTTACTAGCCCTTAGAAGTGCTTTTAAAGGGAATTTGCAGGGCACACAAGAACACAAGCCTCTTCTCTTGTGTTGCTTAACTTCACCTGTCTTGATCTTTTGCCAAATACACAAAAAAAATCTCCAAACAATTCTGAGGCAGTTTCTTGTCTCTCCAAATGCTGGCAGTGAACACTTATATTTGTATTAATCCACTACTTAAAAATCATCCTTCATTTACAGTAAAGGACTGTTCTGTAATCTTCAAAGTGATAGCATATCAGGCACGTTTCACTGAGTTTTCTGAAGCATTTGCTATTCAGGTCAGCAAAGACTGCGATGAAGTGCTGTCAATATTTGTTTTGTTTTCTGGCTGTAATAGCATTATGGTAACTGAAGAAATCAAGAAGTAGAGAATAAGAAAAGGAATGACAGCTCAAATTGGTGGCTTTATTAGGCTTCATTTGTTAGTGTTACTTATCATTAACTATGAAGTGCCTCAGGACCTCTCAAGAATAGGCTTAATTGTGTTTTTATTAAACCATCATGGAGCCATACTCTTCAGGTTCTAATTAAACATGATGTTTAATATTTTATGTAGCTACAAATAGGAGATCCCTTAAATTCAAGGTCTTCAAAATCTTTATCCAAAAACTTATACTTGATGTTCTTGGAATAATTCTTTTGAAGGAACCCTTGTAGCAAAGCTGGGTATATAGGACAGTCTTTTGTACTATTTAGACTTTAACCAAAAGTGTGTATTTTTCAGCTGAAGTTAAAACACTGGTCTCTCTGACAAATTGACTTAAGTTTTATTAGAAATATGTAACTACCTGGCTGCATCTGTTTAATTGTTTGTCTTCTCTTTTTAGCCGTGGGGTTCAATCTTAAGGAATTGGAACTTCTTAGCTGTGACACATCCTGGTGGCATTCCTGACATATGATGAAGTGAAAGCGAGGTTGCAGAAATACAGCACTAAACCTGGGAGGTGAGAGGTTTTGCAGATTATTGCTTTCCAGATAAACTTGCTGTCTCAGAAGCTACATAACTATTCTAGGTTCATACTTCTATATTATGTGATACTTACACTCATTGCGATATTGAAGGAGTGAATTTTTGGCTTTTTTTTTTTTGTAACAGAGTGAATTAGGGAGGTAGTAGGTATTTTTTTATACTTGTGATTTTATTTGTATCAAAATGTATTTTTAAAAATAGTTTAATACTAAAGCTCAGAACTCCACATTCAAAAAATGCTGACCTTTTAGATTTTAAGACATAGGAATTATGTAACCATGATCTGTTTTTTACGCCATAATTCTTCTACAGTACTATGAAGCAAAAAAAATTGCATTAGCACACGAAAGTCTAAATAAGTACAAATAAACAGGGAAAAAAAATTGAAATTACATTGCCTTCCTTTCTTCTTCTGAATTAGGTACAACAAGCAATGCATTCTTGAAAAGCATATTTGAAAATACAATTTGCTTTTCAAAATTTGCATTGAATAGTTGCTTAATAGTAAATTAAAAATCATCTTAACATATTTCATGGCATCACACTTCAGCACTGATAAAATGCATAATTTAAGTGTTGTTTTTATGTTCATATTTTTTTTTTCTTTGCCAGTAATGATTCTATATCACAAACTCTTCACCTGGAAAAGGAATCTGTCAGATTAAATATCTTGACGTGTAGAGTTTTAAAATAATTTCTATGTGTTGCTATACATACTGAATTACTCAAACTGAACTTTTACCATTTATGCCACTTCTGTTGTCCTATTTTTTTCTTCACTCAGATTGGAGAAATAAAAATCCATTAATGGATTTAATTCTGTATTTCTTAACTTTTATTTTGCTAGCTTTACCTTTCAGTTACAAAGCTTTTTTCCCTAATGTCTAGTTGTCTAACTTTGCTGCAGGATCACATGTATACATAGTTAAAAGTGCATCATTTTGCAACTTGTTAGAGAAGTCTAGCAACAGTTATACCCATATTCTGTACTTGGTTTCTTTTGGGTTTTAGCAAACAATATACTGTTCTTGTTAAGTTACCTGGCTGGTTAAGTGCATATATACCAGAATCTTGTGGTTCCAGTAGAATAGCATTGATTTTTAGCTTGGCACTCATGAACACTACTACGGAAGTTGGAGAACTAGGTTGATTTTGAGAGTGGTTGCTATACTTAGTATTTTCTCTATTATTGATTCTGATTCTGTGATTATAAAAGAGAAGTAGTAGAGAAATTATCCAAAGTTGCCTTTATGTTCCTTGTAAATAGAGAGTTAGTTTTAAGATAACTTGCTATTCCATATCAGAAAATGACTTTCTAAATTGCTTAGGTGAAATGCTGGAGTGTGAAAGAGGAGATATGAAGTGAAATTGTTTCTTTAATCTGTCTAGAACATCCTGGAAATTACAAGATTCTGTTCAAATGAATAGTTGCTACTTCAATGTAATGTTCGCCCTATTGAAGGTTATAAGAGCTATGCCAAACTTCAGGGAGGCTAAGATTTCTCATTTTAAGCAGTTTGGAAGGAAATAAAATACTGATGTATAATTAAGAAAAGCTGCTCTATAATACAAAATTGAGTATGTGGTATTTCACTGTGGGATGCTTTTCTGAATGAGGTTTTTGCATATAAGATGGTGTCTGACATGAAAGGGACTAGAGTTTTTAGTAAGAAGAACTACACATGCCTGATACTATTGCCTATCATCTTCCTTTTCCTCCTACTCTGCTCTTTGTCTACATTATGTATACTCCCAGCTATCACCTGTAACACACAAAAGTATTTAAATTTAAGTCCAGTTGGGTTGGCATTATCTGGTATTTTCTGAAGTAGAAGTGATATTTCTTCTGTCCTGTTCATCTCCTCTGGTACACACAAAATTAACATTGCTAGTAGAGCAATTTTTTATTATTAATCATTCACATTTCTGTTGCATCTAAAGATGTTTTATATTTCCCCTTCCATTCGTTCAGGTTATTGGCCTGTGTATGCACAAAAGGTATATGTTGTAGCTATGGAGACTTGATAATGTAATACGCTTCTTCAAAAGGTTTGTGGGTATGTCTATATCTGCGTAATAGGACTATTCACAGTGAATGTGCAGCTTTCACTTTGAGAACTAAAAAGCAAGCAAATGAATAGTTGGGGGTAGGGTGCTACTGTTACCTTATTTCTGCCCATAAGGAACGGACAGTGTAAAAGACGCAGATTTATTTAAGGTTATACAAAGAACACGTGGCAGAATTGGGAATCTGAGCCAAATCTTCAGAGACCTAATTCAATGTCTTAACTAGAGGCCATCCTTGCTCTCTTCACTTGTTTTGCCGAACTCTGATTAACACTGACTTTTTATTCATCCTGTTTTTATCAAGCTACATTTTCAGACTGAGTTGCACTCGCTTGGGACAATGGGCCATTGGATATGTGACTGGCGATGGGAACATATTGCAGACCATACCTCACAATAAGCCTCTGTTTCAAGCTTTGATTGATGGCAGCCGGGAAGGATTGTAAGTATAAATTCCTATAGTCACCATAGGTATGAAATCCTGATTTCCTTGTTCTTCTAATGCTTATATGGGTAGTTATTAAAGATCTTTAAAACAGAGAATCTGGATATGGTGTTTAGCATTCCTTCAGAGTTTAAGGACCATCCCTTTTATTAATTTGAAAAACACTTGTTTCCAGGTAATTCCATTAACCAAAGTTAACCAAAGTTAGCCAAAGCCATATCTCATAGCAGATAAATTCCAGGAGAAAATAAAATCGAGCAGCTGTCGCATTGATTCCTTCCCCCCACCCTCAGTAAGAGTCCCAAAGGCACTTAAGCTTATTGAACAATTACTACTGCCAGTTACTCATGTGTCTAATTCTGGACAATGATTTGAAAGCTATGTAATTGCTTTTTTATATATTGTACAGCCAGAACATTTTCCACGTTCTAATAGTTTTCTGAAAAGATTTATAATTATAAGAGAATCTAAGTTATATAAGGAGAAGTAGTACATTTTTACTAGGTTGGCTAAAGTAACAGACAAATTTTTGTTGTCAGAATCTTTTCACTGGGATACATGTTTTGATATATCCACATGATCATATTGAAGGAAGAAAAAAAAACCGAGAAAATGGATCAATCCTCAAAAAAAGATTGAGAAACCCTTTACAATCTTGTAATTTTTCTCAGTCCTTCACAGTCCAGTAATTTTTTTCCAGGTATGATGATTTCATACTGGTAATAATAAAAACCACACTTACAATGGTAGTGTTTCTACTTGACAAAAACTGAGCAAACAAAAACTAGAGCTGAGAATATTTAATGCAGAGTGAAGTTTTTGTACCCTATGTAAATACAACTTTCTCAGTGTGACTTAACAACACGACTTTCAAGAAACTGTTTCCAGGTTAGAGGTAACATAAATCTGAATATCGAACAACTTAGGGTCTCTGTAATATCATTTAACCTATTATTAATTTCCCACAGGATTGAAATGTCCCCATCGGTTCTTGCTTAAAGTCCAGTCTGCATCTTGGATTCTCAGTGTAGATTCTTGTCCTAGTATACACAGATAATATTGTGACATGTATATAATATTATATATATAATAATACACAGAGATATACACAAGTGTGTGTTACCTTCTATTCTGTTCCATTACTTGAAATAGTCTATAAAGTCACTGAGAGTGATGCTCGCAGTGGAGAGATCACTAGGAATGTATGCAAGTATAAGCTCACTGTGAAATGAAGATCTAAAATAATACTCTGTGGAGCTACTCCCAGAACGTTGTCTGCTGATCAAAGGTCAGATGAATTCTGGTGGTAGCTATGCATGTGCTGTCAAAATCTTTTCTGTGCTTTTATAAATAGACTTGAGCATGTGTCAAAATGCACATGTAGCAATTCAGTTGCACCTGAAAGATGGCTGAGGAAAGATGATGCATTTTAGTTAACGTCTACTGTAACTTATTCTGCCCCTTTGAAATTTCATGAGTATTATTTACCTAATAAAGGTAAAGAAATGTGCATATTTATAACAGTCTTCTTGTGATGGCAGCTATCTGTTCCCAGATGGACGAAGTTATAATCCTGATTTGACAGGATTGTGTGAACCCACACCACATGATCACATAAAAGTCACGCAGGTAAGTTGCAGAGTTTGTCAGTTATTTTGTAATCTTCACTTCCCTTAGTATCTCATCCTAATAAGCTTTTATTAAAATGTCAGAAATAAATTCGTAAGAGTGAAAATATGTTGTTGATAGAAGGGCTTAGATGAAGTACAGGGTAATAATCCTTTAAACTCTAGAACTGATGGTGATGCAGACAGCATGTCTTGGAAAGTTTTGTTTATTCTAAGCCTCTTCCAAATGAGAAATGTGTTAACGGTGATTAAAGATTTTTCTGATATTTATGTTACAAGTTTATGTAGCTTGGTGTTTCCTTGCTAATAGCAGATGAGAATACAGAAATAAAATCAAGATCAAATGATAGTTTTGAAGCCTGAATAGGAATGGTACAGTTTGTTGACAGGTCCAGGAGGAAAAGTATAGTCCGTGTATCACAAAGATACCAGTTCCAGGGTCGGTCTCTTTCTTTATCTATTGTGCAAATTAAAAGAGAGATCAGGGAAAAAAAAACAGAAATAACTAAGTGCCTAAAGGGAGTCATTTTGCAGAGAAAATTAGAATATCTAGATGTGTTTGTAGTCTTGTTAAGTGATGATGTGATAAACTAATGTGCAGATGTTTGATACTCAAGTAATAGGAAGTAGCCACCACAAGACAAATGCTGGATTAAAAATGGTGCTGAAATTAACACTAGAAGGTTAAGGTATACTGTGTAGAGCATTTTTCCTGACAAAAGCATCTGCAAGACTTGAGAATATGTTCAGGGAAAGACATCAGGCTAGATACAAGCCATGCTGTTTCAGATGGTCTTCCATTTCTTCAGAGCAGACTGGATGACCTGCTGAATCTTCTGTAATTCTGAGAGCTCTATGTGCATTCCACCTCCAGAAATATTTAGGAAAAGAAGTATTCACTACCATCTATGGTGTTACCAGGAATACCATTATGAAAATACCTGTTTCCTAAGTAAGAGAATTCCTAAAAACAATTACCTGAAGAAAGTCTGAGTACTTCCACTTATCTGACTTCCCTCTTTTCCCTCCAGTCTTAAAATAGTAATGAAAGAGTAACACAGAGATATCAGATATTTGTGTTGCACAGAAAGATTTTGTAGCCCCGTATCCTTTCTTTTCCTTAAGGCAAGGAAAAGCAGCTTGGACATTCCCAGTGATTACCTTGTTCTTCACAAGCCAATCATGTTGTATTTTGAATTCACTGAATGAATCCAGTTGCTTCTGAACTTGTAGTTATGAGGACACCATTAGTTAATTATGATGGTAATTCAACAGAGTCTAACTCTGTGAATGCTGCCTTAAAAATATATATAACTGCAGTAGTTTAAAGCTGACACTAGAGCTGCTTAAACTATGAAAAGATGGTATAAAAGTGGCTGCAGGGCTAGATTCCTGTAGATGGATTCTTTGCGAGAGCTCCACCATAAGCATCTTTAGTACATACTGACTACAGCTGCAGATATGAGCTGTCTCTTTCATTTTTTCTTTTTCTTAGCCTCATCTCCCTTCCCTTTACTCTCAGCAATAGCTGCTTATTTTCCTGTGACCTGGATTCTACTTATTTTAAGCTTTCAAAATTTGATTTTTTAAGACTAAAAAACCTTTATTTCTACACAAATGCATTTGATTGCTGGTTTCCCAACAATACCTAATTCTAGAAAACTGTTCTGGACTCAAGTTTTATCTATGATTTATTCCTCCTGAAGGTGTTCTTATACCTTCCTGTCAGTCTTGTAGGGATACAAAGTACTGAATGATCTGTGCATGACTGTTGCCATGTTATCTTGGGGGGTATTCTTGCCATACTTCCTTCACGAGGGTTGTTTACTTCAGTTAACCATACTACTGTATTACATCCTTGCTGTAGGTAGAAAGCCCTCTTCCTTGTAGTTTTCAGTCCAGTAACTTTTATTAGTCCTAAACTCATACCTAGAAAAGGAAATCCCAATTTTGTTCCCATTCATCACTCAATTTCTCACTTAGAACCATGTGTTCATTATCTTCCTCTCAACTGCAAGGAAACCAAGGAAAAGCAGGATGTATGCCTTGCATAGTAGTTACATGTGAGAAGACTGTAGAAAACCTAGTAGGCACAGATATTTTAAACTTTTTTTGTAGCATGTATTGTAGTGTATCATAGGTTTGAAGAAGCGAAAAAGTAAGCTGTTTCAGTAACCTTAGCGTGGCTTTTAAATAGATTAGTAGCAATAGTTTCCTTGACTAATAATTAAAGTGGGTTGGAAAACAGGGGGCTCAGAGAAATGTTTGTCAGTACTGGTGCTTAAGTATATTCTTTGTGAACAAATCATAGTAAAGAAATAATCACTTGACTTTCTTCTGTTACAGGAGCAGTATGAATTGTATTGTGAAATGGGTTCCACTTTTCAGCTGTGTAAAATCTGTGCAGAAAATGACAAGGATGTGAAGATAGAGCCTTGTGGACACCTTATGTGCACTTCTTGTCTTACAGCGTGGCAGGTAAGGAGACAGAATGTCTTTGGTGAGAGAAGGATTCAGTCAGTAGTACAAGTCATGAAATGGCCTGTGGAAAAATAAGCTTAGAATCACAGAATCATTAAGGTTGGAAAAGACCTCTAAGATCATCAAGTCCAACCGTTAACCCAACACCACCATGCCCACTAAACCATGTCCCTAAGCGCCTCATCTACACGTCTTTTAAATACCTCCAGGGATGGTGACTCTACCACTTCCCTGGGCAGCCTGTTCCAAGGCCTGACCACTCTTTCAATAAAGAAATTTTTCCTAATGTCCAATCTAAACCTCCCCTGGTGCAACTTGAGGCCATTTCCTCTCGTCCTATCGCTGGTTACTTGGGAGAAGAGACCAACCCCCACATCGCTACAACCTCCTTTCAGGTAGTTGTAGAGCGCGATGAGGTCTCCCCTCAGCCTCCTCTTCTCCAGGCTAAACAGCCCCAGTTCCCTCAGCCGCTCCTCATAAGACTTGTTCTCTAGACCCTTCACCAGCTTCGTTGCCCTTCTCTGGACACGCTCCAGCACCTCAGTGTCCTTCTTGTAGTGAGGGGCCCAAAACTGAACACAGTATTCGAGGGGCGGCCTCACCAGTGCCGAGTACAGGGGCACGATCACTTCCCTCCTCCTGCTGGCCACACTATTTCTGATACAGGCCAGGATGCCATTGGCCTTCTTGGCCCCCTGGGCACACTGCCGGCTCATGTTCAGCTGGCTGTCAACCAGCATTTTGTTTATTGATTCTTGTGTTTCATGTTAATAATATGTAAAGCACTAAACCACCTAGCTTTAGACAGTTGTTGGGGTAAGAGATTGAATGGAGGGGAAGCTCTGATCTCTCAATGTCATTTGAAGAATATCCCAAGTACCACAGAGACTTCCTGGTGACACAGGTTGGTGTGTTTTGTCCATCTCGTTCATGGACATACCAGACTGTGGGAAAAGGGAGAACTGGTACCTTTAGTTCAGTGCAGTTAACAAGCATTTGACTTAAAAGCAGAGGTCATTCCTCTTTACAACTTCAGCCTTTCTCATAATAGGTGCTCAAACTGAATCAATTCTGCCTTCTTCACCCTGCCCCTTTCTTCTTTCGTATCTATATTTTGTGGGGAGAAGTAAGGATCGTCCCATTCTCAAGCAGGACTCTGTTCCACAGTTAGGCACCAATCATTGGTTACAAATGTAGTGAGAAGAGTAAAAAGAATCCTTGACTGTAGTCTGGTTTTAAATGAGTTCATCTCAGTTTTCGTTCTCGAGTTTGAGATATGACTTAAAGTACTATAGTTTTTCTTTTCAAATTCCTAATTAAGAATTCATCATTGGCAAGCCAACACGATGTATCAGAAGTATCATTTGAGTTTTTCTTCCAATAGCAATAAAGCTTGCTGAAAAAGGAGTATTCTCAGTTTCTGATTTTGTGTTCTTTCTGAAATTTGAGTTTGATGCTTCAAACACAAATCTTTCAAATTGCCCACAGATGAGAAATTCTGAGAAAATTCCATTTTAGACATACCCAAATAAGAGTATTTATTTCACTACTAAGCAGCTGCTGAGTTGGAACAATATTTCTCATTTCAGGAGTACCCTTTCTCTGTTCTTACTGGTTTCATTCTGAATGACAAACACAGAGGTCCAACTATGTTAATATTTGATTTAAAAAAAAATTCTGAAATTCTGAGGTCTGTAGCTTTTTTTTTTCCTTCCTTCTCCTTAGCTGAAAGGACTAAGCCAAAGGACTGAAATCTTTGTACTTTTGATTGCCAGGTGTCTCATAGCATGGTAGCAGCATGTTCCTGTGTTGTGCCAGTGATGTGCTCTGGAGAGTTGAGAAGCTAAGGTCCTCAGTACTTTGGCCAATGGCTAGGGATTCAGGAAGAGGACAACAAAGCATTTTAGGCTCAGAGAACTGTCATGTTCAGAAAGATCAAGCTTCATCAGAACATTGCAACCAGCTGTAATTGGCCAGGCACATTTCGGACTTTATTACAAATTTAGATTTTGTATAATTAGTGAGGGAATGAAGAAATATTACACTGTAACAGCGTCAGCTGTTACGAGCTTCTGGTGGGCTAGTGTTTAATTGGCAGCATAATGGCTCATTAGACATGCCTCAAGAGGTCCAATACAGATGTTTTCACTAAGCAGAAAAAAATTGAGTAAGCAACATCAGATCTGCATAGAATACTAAGGATGATTCAGAGTTGTTCACCTTTATGGAGATCAGTCTCTCAAATAAAACTTGGTTTAACTGTTTCCTTTTCATATTATGCAACAGGGGTAAAAGTCATTTTCTTCCACAGAAATTTATTCTTGTCTGAAAACTACATGTCTGGACATGATTCTAAAAGCATATGGGCATATATGCTGCATTGTAAGGTTCACAATAGCTACTCTCTCAATGTTCTAAATAACCTTTCTGTGGGCATGGACAAATGTGTGTATTCATATAGACATCTTAGATCTCAGTTTTAATTTCTCAGTTGTATTCATACTGTTGAATACAAGTCTCTGCTGCTGTGATTAGTTACCCAATATATTTTGGTGAATTTAGTGCTTTTGAAAAGAAAGGAAGGATGCTGCTAATTCAGAACTATTTGACAACACGGATACAAGAAAGCCTTGAAAATGAAAAGCTCTGTGCCTCATCTGCAAGGCTGTTTTTAGCAAATGAAACTGTAAAGAATTGAATGAGTAAGGGAGGACTTCTGTTCGCTTGACAGTGATTACTTCAGTAGGTCCATATAATTTGGAGGCGCTGTTTGAGGTAATAAGTGATGTTGACTAGTCCTTTGTAATTAGGATGTAAGGCTGTTAAAAGAAGATTACATATATCTTTCCATACAAAATGAAAATCCGGTACTAACCATGCAAATAGACATGACTGTTTTCAGGAGACATCATTTATAGTTATCTGACCTTGGGATACAGTTCTTCCACAAACTGTAAAATCATCTGTCAGTTTAGTAAGACTGGCAAGTGTCAAGATAAAAATAACGCTAGAAAAAAAATAAAGCTGTCCTTGACATCTGAGAATTCAAAAAGCTCTGCTTGCTTGATGATGTTTCAGGATAGGTAGGTTGTTTAGAATTAATTTTGATGTTCATATCTTTTTAGCTGTCTGTCTACCTGACTGCAAATATGACACAACGGGATTTCTGAATTCAGATTGAATTATCTTGATCACTCAAATCTTGAGGGCTCTTTTGGGTGTGGTTTGTTTTTTAATTCAAGTTTACATTGTGCCTCTTGATGGAAAAATTTCTTTAAAAGTGCTTGAAAGACTTTCTGATATTTTTGTTCATTAGTAGTCTGAAATCTACTTTAAAGGCTTCTTGATTGCTTCTGACAAGGAAAAAAATATTTCTGAAATAAGTAAAAGGAATGGAAATACGGCTGCTTGAAAATCATTTAACACATTATTCCACTTAGAAATTAAAATTCAAGTAATTCTTGTTTCTGATAACATGTGAAAATAGTTCCTTGTTTTACCTAATTTATTGAAAATGTAGTAAAGTCCTGGTTTGTTAGGTAAACATGTCAAAAAATGTTTGTAGCTTTAGACGTTCTGTATGCATATTGCTGAATGATGGTAATAGTGCACTCCATTGAATGATGGACTGTATATATGCTCTTCAGAGAATAAGGGCTGCATGCTCTAAAGCTCATCTGCGTTTTCTAACTTAAAATGAAAAATAAATACTTTAGTATAAAAGTTATATAATAAAATGCATTATCTCTGTCTACACACCTCGCCTTCTTTCCTCTGAAGAAATAGGAAAATTGTAATCCTAAAAGGCAAGGTGTTACTTCCTGAGCTGTAATACTGTGACAATTACAGTTTTGGTGCTTTGTAGAGGTAGTGGTTGCATTTTCATTAGTTATTTTTAAGTGAAGCTTAACCTTTTGAGGAGAGAGAGCTTTAAAAGTGCAGTCACTTTACCATTTACTAGTTAAAAATCTCTGAATCTGTTTCCTGTTTACTCCAGTGCTTCTTTACAAGCTGTTAGAGACCTGTTAAGGGCATTTTTGTGTAGAAAGATGTAAGACCTACTTTTTAAATTATCTCTATTTTTTATTTTTAAAAATTTATGTACTTTTTTGTCTTGCTGTAGGAATCTGATGGCCAAGGCTGCCCTTTCTGCCGCTGTGAAATCAAAGGAACTGAACCAATCATTGTGGATCCCTTTGATCCAAGGGATGAAAACTCCAGGTGCTGCAGTATTATTGATAGCTTTAGTATGCCCATGCTGGACTTGGATGACGATGATGATAGAGAAGAGTCTTTAATGATGAATCGTTTGGCTTCAGTCCGAAAGGTAAATTTTCAAATACTCTACAACAGGTATAGATATATATTTGTAAATGAAGCTGCTTGTAACTTTAAACAATGAGAGGTTGCACTTTATGCTCTGTGTTTCAGCAACTCACTGAACGGTTCTTGGGTTGAAAAAACAAAATGCATCAATAATGCAGCAATAATACAGAAGTTGAATAGGAGGAAAAAAAAATCCCAGATTCTCAGCTGACGTGAACTGAGTTACCTTTGTTTATAATGGAGGAAGCATGAGCTGAGACTCTTATTCAAAATACGCAGTATGGACAACTTTTATTTGTAAGGAACAAAAAATTTCATATGTACAGAATATATTACTAGTTTTCTGCCTATGTGTTTATACACATGCACAGAATGTTTTAAGATTAGACTTGAGTTTCTAAATAGGTTATAAATATTACTGCTTTGTAAAGGTGACTTGGAACCCAATTTGTATCGCACATAAGTAGCTATTAATAATGTTTCATGTGAGTCTATGGTTTTTTTCTTCTGTATTTTTAGTATCAGGTACTTTTAGCGGGAAAAGTGTATCTGAGATTATTCATAGTGACTTTGTGTTTTGGGATGTTTTTTGTCCTGAAAGCGCTTTATGTTAAATTCTGGGATCTTTCTTTGGTCACAGGAGATTTTATCATGGATAAATAAGCACTATCATTAACAAAAGTTTATTTTATGTTGGTAGTTTTCACTATTATATTTTAGCCTGGAATAGATATTGTCATAGGCCATGCAACACTGAATTTTACAGTGCTTTTTCTGTGTTTTACCTTTTACTAGGATCATCTAGATTAAATACTTGCCTTGGAATTAATTCTGTAACATCTTACTCTTCCATTTCCTTATCATTGTTTTTTTTTTTAAAAAAAAAAAGTGTTTCACCCTCATATCTAAGAGTATCTTTCAGTTAGTATACATATGTCTGAAATCCTTCCTAACCTCTTAAGTCATATGAATCATTCTTGTGTTGTGTATGTAATACAACATGGCCTACTCTTGGGAACAGTTTATCCTTCCTGCCTGGCCTTAAATTGCAGTCTGCAGCCTGACCTCTGTGAGATAGCCTTGAATTGATGGGCTTTTATAACACTATCACTTCCATGATAAGACAAAAATGCATTATGCTTTTATCAAAAGAAGGAACAATAGGCTTTACTATAAGAAGTCTTGTTTTCAGTATTCACCAAGTACTTGAGTGCTTTGGGGCTTGCTATTTTTATGTCATTAATTTCATTATTCAGTGAAAGAAACCTACTAATTATCCCTGAAGTTTAGGAACAGCATTTTCCATTCTTTGTTAGCCTCTTGAAGTTATTACTTGAAAATGTTGAATTATCAAGTCATTTGGTGATTTTCAGCTGCTGTTTTCTTCTTAAAACTGTTGCCAGTGGTTGTACAGTGATGCTCTTAACCACACCACCTGAATGGAATATGATATTATTTATATGCACTGATGAAAGTGACTGTAGGTCTTCACGATGTGTTGCGGAAATATTCAAATCAATGCTCATTTTCCTGAAAGCCTTGTGGGAGGGGCACTGTTAAAATGTTTCTAAGCTGTTACTACCAATTTTCACTATCTTTGGGACTTGTACTTGGAAATATATTCATAATGCAGAGAATAGTTGCAGTAAGCTCATTTTAGAAGCACACACAGTCAGGTTCATCACTGAAGCGTACTCGTAAACTGTAAGAGGTATCTGAATTAAGTCCCTGAGAGACCTCAGACTTGAAATGGCTTTAACGAAAAGAATAATCACAAAGCTACTTACTCATTCTTTAATGGAATGAGTAAATGGATACACTTTAACAAAAATGAATCATTCTTGCTAGGTGTTGTGTATGAGTCAGCAGCAGATCAGCTGTAACAGAGGCTTTAGAGAAATCCACTGCAATTAGTCTGTTTATCTGCCTCATCAAGCAGCTTATTTTTTTTAATTTCTAAATTGTCTTCAGATATTTCTTTATGAAAGAAAGATGTAGAGTTGTGCCAAAACCTCTGTTAATTGTCTCATCGCTGAGAAATTTCCAGCCCCATGGTTTCAGATTAGCTAATGCAGTTATTGCCTGAAGTGTTCCTTTTCTCAGCTCTTTTCTCAGTTTGTACTAGCAAAGTACAACATTATGAAATGTACATTAAAAAAATGTGCAGATTACTGGCTCAGGTAAATATTAAAAATGGCTTTTTTCATTTTTAAAGAGGGTATTTGAGTCTCTAGTAGACTATGTTTATTATTCCTTAATGTTTAATATCTATTGTCCCAATTAATTAAGAGTTACTGTCACTTTACCGTGTACAAGATGTAACTTCATGCACTACTTTTAAAAAGAAAGAAAGAAAATAAGGAAAATGTGTAGTGCAGAAGCTCTTGTTAAGAGCAAATAATTTTGAATTTGAAGTGCTAAGATAATTGTTTGATCAAAATAATATTACATGAAAACATAGAGGAAGGCCCTAGTAGTATAGCAGTCTATGAGGTTTTCAATAGCTTAAAGTGAATTAACATTCTCTAAAAACGCTTTCTTCTAAAAGTAGATGAAGTTACCTTCTCTGGGGAGTTACCGTCTTCTCTGGAATTAATTTCCTAGCTGTCTGAATGCACCAAAAACTGACTTTGATTCACACTGTTACTTTAAAATAGTTAAGGAAATTGTCAAAGCTGAAAGCCACTGTTTGTCATGATTAGGCTTCTTCCAGCAGATGAGTTAGGTCAGACTTAACAAATCATGACAAAAGACCTTGGTTCTCAAAATATGGGAGGAGGCTGTTTTTGACTCCTCCCCCTCGTTTCCATAGTATTAAATTGACTTTTTTTCTTGTAATGAAAAAAGGCATGTATTATGTAGTAATGATGTTTTTAATTTCATCATATAAAATACAGAATATGTAAAAAAAGACTTCAAATACGTATCCAGGTCTTCCCTTCAGCTGTACATTCTTAACTCATACATACATGTCACTTCCTTCTTAATGGTACACCTGGTTTATGGGAATTTATTAAAATCATGCCACACAACGAGAGAGTCCTTAGCTGCTTAGTTATTAGTATTTGAAAGAGGTGTAAATGCTGGGAGGCAGTGTGCCTTCCTTAGTTAAAATGTATTTTACTGATTCCCTTGGGCAGTGTGGTGCTGACTCTCACAGCCTTAACTCCCTCTCCCTCCTTCACATGCATTTTCTTGGGTCAGCAAAGGAAAGATCAAATAAAGAACAAACCTGTCTATGAAAAAAATGTTTGCAGCCATCAGTGTTAAGTGATGTAACTTTATATCCTCATATGAATTTTTAAGCCCAGATTATACTAATCTGTCTAGGCCACAATTTACCCTAACAAGAAATAACAAATATAGGAGTTACTCTTATCTGATTATAAATAAAGAAACTTCAGGGAACTACTTGGAAGTGAAAAGTCCACTTCTGGTGTAGGTCTGCTTGGACCTTCTTAGATGTCTCATTATGCAATTTATAAATTACTGAGTTCGCTCCAGCGGGACATTAACAATCAGGATAATAGTCCTCAGTCAGTCACTTGTTGGGAGTTGTGTTGAGTATGCTTTTCATATGTGCCTATCTGGCGTTTGAAGCTAAAAGTCTCCATTCAATAGCCTGACTGCTAATATTTCCATCAGAAAAACCTTCACTAGAAATTGTAATCATTGTCAGAAGCAGCCTTATTCTTGAGTTCACAACCACTAGGGGCAAACTGATACCAGTATACCCCAGTAATAAATACATCTGATTAAATAACACAAGTGTGGTCTGCTCTGCAGTACAATTGTGAAGTAAGTCACAGCTGCTTTTCCCTTGGCAGCAGTCATGCCAACCAGATGAAGTCCATGTTGTTACAAAGGAGTCTGTGTTCTTTTCCTTAATTACATCTTTATTGCACAGGTCTGAGTGTGTTGCAGCAGAGCCCCTTTGTATGCTGAAGGTCTGTCTTCTGTCACTGCCAGTTCATTTGTATTAGTTTGTATCTTAATCGCTTGCTTGTTTTATCTTTTTGTCATTGTGCTGCTCTCATTGCTGCTTTATTTCCAGTGAGTAGAAAATACACAGAAATCTCCAGTAAGTGACAAACAGAAAACTTTTAAATCTCTTTGTCCGTAGGGAGTCTGCCAAAAAGAGTAGGTATTATGTACATCTGTTAATGCCCTGGCATCCAGATGAAGTGCAGCCATCTTTTTGGCCTAGCTGTCAACAAACATCAAATGATGCAGCTAGGCAGGTTGGATGGGGGTGAACAGGAAAAATATGGGGCTCTTAATAATGGGAATATGATGGAAATCTGATACTGAATGCTGAAGAAAACCTGTTTGTTGCTATGGAATATTTTGTTTTGTTTGGTTTTATTTTACTTTCAGTAGATCTAAACAAGGAATCATCATTTTGAGTTTCTCCCAGCAAAGCGTTCTCTCTTACTTCAGCACCAAGTGGTGACATGGATTAAGCTTCCTTGTAGGGAGAGAAACTGCTTCTGCTATCAGTTATTTTCTTTTTTTTTTTTTTTTTTTTGCCTCGTGCCTTGTAAGTTATTCTTTAACCTGTTGGCCATCATCAATTCTCTTTTTGAAATCTCTGGGGCCACAGCATGCTCTGATAGCATTGTGGCTGTTAGCAATAGTAGTTCAGGGGACTGAAAGATTATTTTGCTATTCTGAAACAAGATATTGATGTAAGCTTAAATTGAAGTCCTTTCACACATATAAGACTTTGAAAAATTTCATTTTGGCAGTTGTGATTTACCATTCATGGAATATGGTGGGTAGAGATAGCTAAAAACCAAGTATGTGTGGAGCCAGAAGTTTATCACGTAAATTAGTCTCCTGTTTCAACAGGATTAAAACCATGTCAGGTTCTAAGAATCTTGAATTTTTAAATAAATTTTCATATTGTTCTAGTTTTTGTTACTGCCTACTACATATTAGGTGTGTCTTTCAGCCACTTGTTTCCATAAATCTGAAAATAGCATCAGTCCCCAGTGGGCT